TCGGGGGTTGGCTAGACAATGATGATTCGTCTGCGATACCGAGCGAAACGGATCATCTGTGTTGTGGAGTGTATTCCTTTCCCATGTTTGTTTTTCTTTGCTTCTAATTAGCCCGGTAACACCTACAACAGTGAGGAGGAAAAATATGGAACAGTAACCTAGTAACCAGCAACCAGAATTCCGATAAATTTCAGCTATTCCTATAAATTTGCAGCTATTCAACAATAGAAATGTTTTTACCATATGAATGGTCCTTGAAAGACTGTTGGAATTCTTGCTGGTTTATGTTCGAACATCAAGAAATAAATCAAAATCGTCATAAAAGGCAATAGTTTGACCTGTTCCAAGTTTTTCCCGCTGCCGTGCAAAGATAAATTGCCTATAACCATGACAAATGCCACAGAAGTTTTATTCACCCTGTATTTCAACAATGGGGAGGGCGTGGCAGCGTACTTCATCTGAATGTGGCGGTACCTGCGCTTTTGGTAGGATATTGCCGCTCTGAGACACAGTAATGATGTCAATGTCCAGCACAAGATAGAATGAAGCCATCTCAAATAGAATTTTCTCATAAAAAGCCATCCTACGCTATGTCCAAATGAGAAACGAAGCAAGCCGTCCCCGGGATAGGGAGTGGCCGTGCCAAGTGCACCACTACCATCACTCCCTGTAGTACAAACATGTCACCGCCATCACTTAGCGGTGGCGAGTTAGATGGGGAATCTTGTTCACAGTATTATACACTGGGTGGAATCTGTAGGATGGGGGATCCCGGGAAAGAGAGGGAGGGTCATATTTAGTCACTGGAGGTGAGGGGATCCCATTTACCTGGAAAGAGCATGTATAATTGCTGAATTCTCTCTTCCCACCCTTATACTCAATCCATAGCAAAGCAATTTGACTAATTCTGTTAGTTGATCGGAGAGGACCCGTGCCCGCTCCCAAGCATTTTTGAGTGGGAAGGGTGGTCGCATTTGAAGTGCTCTCCAGGAAGAAATCTACATCTCCACAGGTTCCTTGTTTTTTAGTGACCTAACCTGCTGACCCGCCACCGATTAGCCAAATGCCGCAAATAGGATCGCAACCCAACCACACCCAGTTTCCAGGCCCATATTCGAATTGAATGTTCTCAGGGTTACTCGTCACGCCCTCTTATGCAGTAACTGGGCGCCCAGTACGCGCATAGGATTCAACCACCTAAATTTCGAGCTATTCTTATGAACTTGACAAATTTACAAGCAACAGAAATATAAAATTTGCACTGCGATTTTTCCCCGCAAGAAGGGCTGCTGATCAGTTCTTTTTAGGATGCGGCACACATTCCACTTCCATTCAGGAACGCTTACTCAATGCGATGTGGCTTATACAATGAGTTGCGAACGCCAGCCAAAGTAAAAGTCGATGTACTTATCCTCCCAAACGAACCTTGTACCAGTTCATAGCCTTTAGAGGTCAGAAGGCTTGGTGCCTGGGTAGGTGCCGTTGATTTCATAGCGAATGCCAACCGATGTGGGGATTTTTTTTCCTCCCAGACGAGTGCAATACCAATATATCGGTTCCCAAGTGGTGGAAGGCTCGATTGGCCAGTTCGGGAGCCAATCCGGAATTGGTTTCTCGTGCGTATAGTAAGGCGCCATTTGCCTCTAAATTATCTCGGCTGTCCGTCTGATTAGATTTTGTAACCACAGCCAAGATATTAACAACTTTTATTTGGCTTACGTTTCGGCCTTGTCGCCTTCGTCGGAGCCTGGAAAGTCAAAGATAAGGTGACCTACCGCCGAATGCCATTTCAAACTGA